TTATTTTATTTACTTTTGAGTTATTTCAAATAACTTTTAAATTATATACTTCAATTTTTTTATAAATTTAAATTACATTTTTATAGAATTAAATATCGCAAACTAAGCTTTTCGTTGTGATTATTTCATTATAGCAGCTCAACTCTTCTGGACTCGGTTCAATTTTCTCATTGATTATTATTGTTTCAAATTCAAATACAACACTCAAATTTGAACTAAATTGTAACATGTTAAATTTTAGTGAAATTTGCAATACAAATACTTTAAGTCGAAGAATGTATACATTTAGCTGTGTATTACTCATTGCTTTAAAAATATATAGCTTCTTTTTAAAATAATTAAAAAATTATGCAAAATACTAGGTTTGTGATAATTAAAAATAAAGACTTAATTAAAATTTATTGTTACTAAATGTTATGAAAGGCTCTATCCCACCCCAATTTAAAATCAGATACTATTCATGTCAAGAAAATCATATAATATTTATCTAAGAAAGAAAAAAACTTGATAAATTTATAAACGAAAAATGCTTGGTTCTGAGGCGGAGTCGAGCTGAGGCTGAACAAAATTGAGCTGTTAGAGAATTTTCATAAAGAAAAATTTATACGATATTTTACATTAATATTAAACCTTTTATAGAATTTAAAGTGGACTAGCATGAAATTTACTTATGTTTTATTTTATTTTATAAGTTTTTTATTGTTATATTTTTAATTGTTTGGAAAAGGAAGAAATATACTTCGTATTTCTAAAGGAACAAATAATACATGCGATTAAGAAATAGTGCACTCCCGGGGTGAAGTATACATGATTTATACTTCTTAAAAGACATTTGTTAACAAGTGAATGGTGTAGTGTAGTGGTTTACATACATGCCTTTCTGGTGTTCCACCCAGGTTCGAATCCTTTTAGTTTCATTTTTTTCTATATTTTAGAAGCACACCTAAACTCTCAAAATTGATGACATAGAATTGATGAGATGATGTGGATAAGCTGATGTGGCGCCCAGCAGTGATACTGAGGTGACATGGCAAAAAATACCCCTGTTTGGGAAATAAGTTTAAAAGTACCTTAGTTTGGGAAATAAGTTTGAAAAACACCCCTCAATGGGAAAAAACTCTAAAAAGAGATGGGGATATATAGGGATGTCTGAATGATAAGGAGTGTTGAATTTGAACTGAATCAATAAGTCAAAAATTGTCCGAGCAAATAAGTCACGTTTTACATTAAGTTCTAAGTAAACACAAATATATAATTGTCCGAATAAGTCATAGTTTTCATTCAGTCCATTAAGTCAAAAGTAAACACCCCTAAGAACTAATCAACAACATTGAAGTTCATGTGTGAATTGATCCTTTGGGATGATGATGATAATAATAATAATACGCCAAATTTGATTATATTCTCATAAATTTGGGGCAAATGAAGTTGTTACCAAATGACTTTAAAGATGCTTCCCGTGGAAAGGATACTTTTCTATGGTCACGACTCGGGATTTATACTTTTCTTTAAAACCATATATATCGTTTCATTTATTAAAAATATGAAAAGATTCTTAGTTTTTATTGAAGAGATTCCGCTTCATTCAGCACGTTCAAATGATTCCTTCTTTCACTAATAAAATATATTTACTTTAATTGGGTAACGATATGGAATCATCAAATTAAATAATTAATTAATCTTATTTGTGTCTTATATGTACTGCCTAAAATGTTAGAATTGCCCACAGCCACAGGACATGAAATCCCATTATGCTCCGCCGAATCAACTAAATTCCCCTCATCCGCTCCAAATTATATCCACCGCCTCGAAACAAATCGAATTATTCAAATATCCCTTGAAATTCAATTTTATGAAAATCATTTTTATTCGTTATTTGATTTAGAAAAATGTACTGATTCCAATGTTCCATATCTGATATGGTATAAATAATTATATTTTATTCATTTTTATTCCATATCTTTTTAAACTTCACACTTTGCTTTTTGGGACGGTCCAAAATAAACTTCACACTTTCTTATTTTCTTATTTGGCAAAGAAATCTACGTCAAAACAGTGTTAAACAGTGCTAAACAGTGTCAAACAGTGTCTCAACAGTGCGAAACAGTGTCTCAACAGTGCGAAACAGTGTACTCTCCAGTAAAGTCAAATTTATTTTCTTAATCAATGTAAAGTAAAATTGTGAAGTTTAAAAGATCTGGAGGGAGTATGAACGAACATTCAAAAAGTCCCCTTCAAAACATTCATGATTCATCAAAACCATAGTATCACTTTCGTCCCAAAAAATACTTCTCACTTTTCTCTTTGGGTCGTTCCAAAAAATACTTCTCACTTTCTCTTTTTGGACAATTTGTGTAGCACATTCATTTAACTTTTTTTTACACAACTACAACTATACATTTCCATTTTATTCCACTTTCTTGATAAGTGCGCCAATTCAAACCGGGAAGTATTTTTTGGGAGGGTGCAGTAACTTTTTAGTTTGCCGACGTTGCCGACGTACAAGTAAAGCTAATGAGTTCGCGTATATTCTTAGTGGTAAAAAGCTAGATTGGTTTAACTAAGTTTAGTACTCCGTATATTTTGCTTGAGTGCACTTTTTTTTTGAGAAGTTGAGTGCACTTTCTTTAAAAAGTTGAAATATAATGAAACAATATATTCTTTGTCCAATTATGACATTTTGAGAAATATAACGGGAAAGTTTGAAAATTAAAATCAGAAATCATATAAACTGTGAGTAATTTATTTTCACTCTCAAATTTTTGTTGCCATATTTCTACGTTATAAAGCTTTAGAGGACATTTGGTAAGATTAAAATTGACTGAATTGACTTATTCTGCTGAAATTTATGAAGTTCTGGCTGAAGTGACTGTATTCACCAACTTTGCTGAAAAAATTATTTTTAAAATATTTGTTATTAATAAATTAAATAAAAAATTATATGAAAAGTAACTAAAATGATCCTCTACAGTAATTTCAGTCAATACAGCCTGAAAAGTAACTTCAACCTAACTTTTTCTGTTTATTAAAAAATTCAGCGCGCGAAATCAAAAGTTACGTGTTTGGTGAAAAAACTGGCTGATAAGCTTGATAAGTCGAAAAAGGGGTCACGAAACGGGCTCTTAATATGACTAATAATAATGTTATACAAATGAAAGCATTTTTAGAAATGATAATAATTACCCTCACAAGTAGCACAATTGGCCGAGTGGTGACGAAAGTTGAAACATCGATCAAGAATCAAAACTCGCAACGATCGTGTAGAGATTACAACTCTGGTGCACACGAGTACAAGATCACCATTTGGTTATAGTCATCGTGACTTACAATCTCACAAATGTCTTATCGGATTGGGGCATCATGTTGGTGTAGCCTTAGCTTTGAGGCTGGTGATACATTTGCCTCAGCCCCCCCCCCCCCCCCCCCCCCCAAATTAAGGCCCCACTTTACTAGTGTCTATGTATTAGTGTATTACTATGGTTAGGAGATTCAACATTTTTGAAACATTAGAAATTATAATAATTACTTCTTATTAAAAAAATAAAAAATTAACATAACTTATTTTAATTCAACTCCTATTTCAGGAATTTATTTACATCCATGACTATTATTGCATCACGATGCCGACATTATCTTCCCGCCCTGCTATATTTGTTTTGTCACTTTCACTCTTGCATTTTGTGGAATTTGTGTATCAATTTTTAAAATAGTTTCAAGTCAATATTTGCATTTTAATATAATTGTTATCTAACCTATAGATAAATAACTTTAAATAATAATAAGTATTTAAATTTAATGATTACATATATTTTGGACTAAAATAAATATTATTTCCACAAATATGATTTTTTAAATGTAGTGATCGACTATGATACTAAGTAGTAACTTAATTTATAACTTACGTTCAATCTTTACGCTTTAAGTAGTAGTCCAGTGAGGTTATATTATACTCCCTCGATCCCGCTATGAACTTCTCACTTTCCTTTTTTGGATGTCCCAAAAATAAGTTATCATTTCCTTAAATGGTAAGCTAATCTACATCAAAATAATATCAAACAGTGCAAAACAGTGTCGAAACAATGTAAAACAGTGTCAAACAGTGTCAAAACAGTAAAATTTACCCATAGTACGTTTATTTCTTTAATATGTGTGTAGGTCAAACTGTGAAGTTAATTGTGGGATGGAAGGAGTAATAACCTACTACTTTTGAAAAAACCCCATTCTAAATTTATTGTAGTCATAAGTAACACCGAATAGGATACATAACATGCATGTGACGACTTGAAAAAATGACGAGTTTCATTTCAATTCAATTATTATACAAGCTCAATATGATGTATCTATCTATAAAACTGTAAGATGGTTTGAACGCTTATAGTAGAAATTATACTACTCCCTCCGTCCCAAATTATAACATACATTTCTTATTCACTTAATTGGTTAACACAAATAACTATTAATCTATTACTTTATAAATCAATTTTTTATCAATTTTGATTCTGGTTTTTGCGATTTTGTAAAATTTTTAATGTAGTTTGTGACTAAGTAGTTTTTTTTCCTACAAATAATTAGAGGGAAAAATACCATTATAATACTAAAAAGGGAGAAATTCCCATAATATGACTAAACATCAGGTTTGATAGGAATATGACCTATAAACACATTAGATGAATAGGATTCACGTGATAATCCCTACATTTTAGGCTTAGAAATTAATATAGGTGAGTAACCGTGAGTGGGATGGCCAAAATCAAGCAACAAAATAGGAAGAAAAACTACTTGATCATACATTGGGAAAAATATGATCTTTTAGTCATATGAGGGATACTTCTCTCATAATTTGAGTGCGAACATGGATACGTTTGCTTTATCGTTGGTCAAACATCGTAAATCGTAAAATATCTTACAAATTAGGACGGAGGGAGTACAATTTACTTTGTAATGTATAGAGTTGATTTATAGTTTGGAAACCTTCACACCTTCACCGACACTGAAAACACATCTCTTCGGATCGGAGGATGCCACAATATAATGGAAGGATTATGACCTCGTTTGGTCACTCGCGAATTTGGAATTTAAGTTTTAGGTGTTGAATGTTTTTTGGAGAGGGGCCGAAGGAAGAAGAAGCTAGGGAGGTGATATGATGTTCCCGGTTGTTAGTACGCTTCTTAATGATAAACAGGTAAAATTTTCTTTCTTTAAAGATGTTATGGCATCAATTTGGAGGCCTGTGAAAGTTGTATCGATTAAAGAAATTTGTGATAAACAGTATATCTTTTCTTTCTATCATGTGATTGATATGGAGGACCGAGTGGTTGAGAATGGTCCATTATTATTTGAACAAAGTTTGCTAGTACAGTGTTGCATGCTATGCATGAGGGTGAGCTGCCCTTAGAGGTTCCGTTAACTGATGTAGATTTTGGGTTTAGGCTTATAATTTATCAATGAGTTTTTTTACTATGCGGATTGCAAAACTTATTGGAACTGCATTAGATAAATTAATTCAAGTTGAAGAAAGTCAATTTAGGTACTCATGGAAACCATATATGAGGCTAAAGGTGTGTCTGGGTATTAATAAACCTTTGAGGATGAAGCTCAAGTTGGGTAAGACTGAGACAAAGTGTTTTGGGTAGATCTAAAGTATGAAAAACTCCCGAGCTTCTTTTCTGTGTGTGGTCTGATGAGCCATGTTGATCGCTTTTGTCCCCAAACGTTTAATAAAGGGGAAGAAGTTTTAGTTAAATCGTATGGGTCGTGGCTAAGAGCAGTGGGAGGCATAGGTAAGGTGATGGGAGGTAACAAATGGCTTGTCAAGGATGGGGTACTGGGAGCTGGACGGGAGAAGAACCAAGGGGCCAGGCGGGATTAGATAGTGATGGAGAATAGGGATGACAACGGGGCGGATCAGAGACTGTTTTACATATAATCGTACCCGCCCCGTTGGATAATTTTCCCGTCCCGTACCCGCCCCATTACCCAATGGATAATTTTTACCCAAGCCATAACCACCATTGGGTAACGAGTATAATCGGGGTAACCGCGGGTAACAACTTTATTAAATGAGTCATTGATATTTTAATATAAAAATAATATTTAAAAGGTGAAAAATGGCATTGCCTTGACGACTCTAGAGTCTAGACTTCAAACGCCACTTTAAAGATTCGTATATCTACAAGATGAGAAAGAAGACAACCTAAATTAATTTCAATCTAAAAATACTTAATCTCAAAAATAATTAATCACAAGGAAAAATATGATAATAATCAAACAAGACTATTAAAATGTATTATGAACTTTCATTCATACACTATAGTGAGTACATCTAATATCCATATATATACAACGAAAAGATATAAATCTCATCTTTTAGTAATTTTGAAACAAATAATAAATAAAAATGTATAAAAATATAACCAAAAATAAATGGGGCGGGTACGGAGTGGGTATGCATAAAACCGTAACCCCCTCGTTCCCCGTAAACACAAAACGGGTATTCCCCGCCCCGTACTTGTTACCTGGTAAATGCGGTTTTCCTCGTTTTGACCTGTGCGATTCGGTGTCGTATCCATCAGATTGGTCACAATAAGGGGAAGTCAGGAGTGAGATTCAGCAGTGTTTTTTTCCCCGGAGGGTCTTCACATAACGCGAGTGCAGATACGATTGATGCCGCAAAGGGGAGCCGAAGTGAAGGCGGGCTGCAGAGACTCCAGATGTGGAAGATATGCGGGCAGGGTTTATGGCGGTGGATGCACCAAAAACGGGGAAGAGACGGGCTTAGGAATTTGTGCTCACCCGGGTCTTCTTCGGAAGCATTTTCATTGCAGTATTCTATTTTTATTTTTGTCATTTCATTTAAGTCGTTTGGATTTTAGTTTTACCGGATTGTGTTTACTCGGGGTGACTCTTGTTTGTTTTTTTAGAGAAAAGGGTCAAATAAGGCCTTCTACTATTACGAAATAGTCATATAAGGTCATTGCTCAATAAAGTGTTATATAAGTACCTCTACTTGTATAAAGCAATCAAATGAGTCCTAAAGGCTTATTTAACACCTCCTAATCCCGATTTTAGATTACATGTCGATTTTTTTGACTTGTATTTCAACTAATCTTAGTTAAATATTCGATATATGTCGTATAATGTATTCTAAAAAGATGGTTAGAAGTACGCTGAAACCGGGATTAAGAGGTGTTAAATAGGTCATTAGAACTCATTTGATTGTTTTTTAGAAGTAGATGTACTTATAAGACACTTTATTGAGTACATGGCCTTATGTGACTATTTCATAATAGTAGAAGGCCTTATTTGACCTTTTTTTTTTAATTTTGGCACGTGGCAAGTACATCATTGGATAAGTGACGAGAATACATCATCGATCATGATTGGCTTATAGTTGCTCAAGTGGGGATTAACGAATCTTATTGCTCCTGAGTGGGTGATAGTTTATGACTCTGGTCCCAGGGTGTATGACTGAGTAATGTTTTCTAGTCTTTCTTACTTGTCTCTTGTATTTGCTTTTGTTGCTGTTTGATAGAATTCTATGATTTTAATATAAGTTATTTTATCTCTAAAAAACTACTCCTCCCTTTGAAATTAATTAGCAATTAATTTTTTTGATCATAAATTTAATTAATACTCTATGATAATTTCCAAGTTAGTCTGATGGAGTATATGGGTCAGGACCCCAGGGCCCACATACTCAGGAGAACGGAAGGTACCACGACCATCTAGTGGGACCTTCGTCGGTCAGATGACCCTCATCGGCCAGAAAGAAGTCTATTCAGAATGTGATCCAGAAGCCAGGAAGAGCCGGGTGACCTCGTCGGCCGGGTCTTCGTCGGCCACGCCCTCGTCGGCCGGGTCTTCGTCGGCCACGCCCTCGTCGGCCGTGCCCTCATCGGCCATAGATGACCTCCAGAATAGGGTTTTATACTTAATCTTTTCTATGTATTTGTATCCGGCCCATTAGTGGCTCTATTGTAAATGGGCCTCCCCAAGCCCAAGACTTGGGAACCCAACCCTAATTTTTCCTATAAATACTCCCTCTGGGAGTAATTGTAAGATTTCACAAATTCATTAATACAGAGTAATTATACTACTTCTCTCTAGACATATAGTCCATCATAGTCTATATAGCAATAAAAAATTATAAACTGCTTATTTAAAGCTAGAGTACAAATTCTATTGAGTTATGAATAACAAATAAAGCTGAATACAAAATACTCATAATTAGATAAATTAAATTAAATTAAACTAAATTATGTTGATTAAGAAAAGTAAAATAAAAAGTTATTTTGAATAACCCTGTCTTACATGATTTTAACAAATGTATGTAGTAAATGATGGTATTACTCCGTGAGCGATATTAATAAATAGTTAAATTATTATCTTCACAAATATACAAAAGAATATTGGAGGAGAATCCTTTACCTATATTAGGGTAATATTGACCGTCCAATAAAATATTGATCAGAATCGTAGATGTAATATGCGGCGAAAGTAGATAAAAGGATCGCATCCTTTATTCTTTCGTCAAAATTTTGCAGAACTTCTTCCTACGATTCCTCCATCCACTTTCTCTTTCTATTTTATCAGTATAAATAAATATCGTCTTAGCTGATTTCCAATCCGTTCTTCTGGATGTTGTTTGGCTCATACATTCACGCGCAGAAGATCTATCGATAGAATAAAAAATATTGGAAGCACAAAATGGATTCTATTTCCCCTGAGCTGCAATTGGATTGCAGGACCCCTTCCGTTCTTCCGACGATCACTAAGTTTCTCGGTGAAATCTCAATGATCGGTAACCTTTCAGAGAGACTAATGAAAATTAACGACCGCGTCTGGAGGCTTGAAGAGGAGATGCGGAAGATCGATGCCTTCAAGCGCGAGTTACCCCTTTGCATGCTTCTTCTGAATGACGGTATGTTTACAGTTCATGTGAACTCATTTTTACAAATTTAACTCTAGGACCTTGATACCTTACCGAGTTTTGTTATTTATTTTATTGGGCATTATATCTGGAGATGGATTTTGGAGTTCAAATAAATTGATGATGGATTCTGTTTCTTTTTGGGCGATGATTGCAGTGATTGTATTTCTCAAAGAGGAATCGATGAAGTGTAGAAAGTCACTGATTGGACCTGTTTATGAAGAATTTCTTCCCGTGAAGAAGAGTTCTGGGAATGGTGATGATGTAGATGGTGATAACAGAGTTGAGGCTAGTAAAGAAAATGACAGTAAAGAAAAGGTAAAATGGACAAGCTCGTTTAAGCTCTGGAATGGTGATATGGATGGCCTCTTTTCAGAGTTCAGCGATAACAGCTACGCCGTAAAGTCGGATCTCAGAATATTGGTAAAAACTTATAGGCAATCTATTAAATTTAAGCATTCAGTTTTCGTTTTACACATATGTTGATGTATTCTGGTGGACTGTTATGCGTTCCTTTTCAAGGGGCATTCTGGGATTCGAATTGATGCAGTGAGTAAGGACAGGCATGAAGAATTACCAGGAGTAGTGCCTCCTGGGCTTTCTCTTAGTGGTTTGAATTCAAAAGCAAGCAAAGTGGAGGTACCTTCTAGTGCTGCTACAAGTAGTTCCCTGCAGCAGGCATTTAGGAAGCAAAGAAGGTGCTGGTCGGCGGAGTTGCATAAAAGATTTGTTAGTGTCTTGCATCAGCTTGGCGGTCCACAAGGTCAGCAGTTCTCAATTTCTAATCCTTTTTCAGTGGTAGAGACACTTGATTGATGAACTTGAGCATAGACTAAGATGCCAATGTTTGATATCCATACTCGCCTTTACTAAATACAGAGTACTACCATTTAACTTACTCTGTTGGCAGAAATGGATGTGGTCAAACACTGTTCCTCTAAGTTGTTTTCTTGTGTATAGTTTCAGTACTGGAAAAAATGCAAAGGAAACTGAAATACAATTAATATTTTTTTTACAAATGTGTAGGTTTCTTAGTATTTTTGTAATAAAAATAGATAAATACAGAGTAAATAAATAAAATGAGTTTGAACATATTTAAAACACTGATTTATTAAGTTTGAAGAAATGTTTTATTTTCCCACCAATTTTCTGTCCTTCAAAATTTATCCTACATTTTCTTCACTGATTTCTTTTCCTAGTATCCTTAGGGTTCAAAACGGGACTGAATTGATTTCTTAGGAGAACAATTATTTTTATCTATCCATTGCCTGGTAAACCTCAAACGCGCCCTTTTGGTTCCTTGCAGTTGCTACTCCTAAGCAGATTAGAGAGCTTATGCAAGTGGAAGGTCTAACCAATGATGAAGTGAAGAGTCATTTGCAAGTAAGTACCCAACCTTTTGGTATATTTACTCCTCCATTGCTTATGTCTGATATGATTGATGATTAAACGATTTTTTCGTTGCTATCAGAAATATCGGCTCCATATACGAAGAATTCCAAGGAGGCATTTCTCATCCGAGAATAAATCCATTGTAATGCTGGGTGACTTGGGTCATGATAATAATAAAATGTTTATGCGCATTGACCAGATTGGTGAATCCTCCAAGCAGAGCTGTTCTCAGTCTGGTTCTCCTCAGGGTACCCTTCTGTTAGGGGAAAGCTCTCGAGGGACATCCATGAGTGGAAGCGATAGCATGGAAGATGACAAATCTGAGTGAGATATTTAAATACTTTTTTATCCCTAAATGATGAATGTATAGATGTCCGGCATGAATTTTGAAGAGAGAATAATGTATCTATGGCGGATTGTTCACAATATACATATTTAAAAGTTGAAGTTATTACTAAAAGTACAACAAGGAAATGAGAGGGTGCTGAGAATTTTTGGAGGATTAGTTTTTTGTTTTGCTTTTTGTTGCTTCATGTGTATGTTCAGTCAGCCCTGATATTGGTGTTCTTGTGCTGTTATTTTTTTAGTTTGATTTAAGGACTTGAAATAAATAGTGTTGTGCAGATGCTAGATACCTAGAGATTGTCTTTCATATGAAGAAAAAGAGCATTTCTTTAACAAACAGATGATGTTTTTAGGATGGTGGAAAACTCACTTGAAAGACATTTGAATGAAGAGGACTGTAAGTATGTAATCATGAGTAGCAATGCCTAACATTTGCTTCTTTCTTCTTCCACTAATACCCAATCATGTTCTAGATTTAAGGGATGACATTGCATGAAACATCTGATCACATAATTGTAGAACCTTTTACTGAAAACACAAGAGTTCATTTTCTGAAAATAGCACTACTCCATTGTTTGAAGAGCAAACTCACCCTGTGGTGACGCTCTCCAAAAATACACAGTTACTGAGTTCATTTGCACTCAAGAACCATGTTAGAATTCTCAAGAGAAACCTATAGAGTATAAGTGAAAGGAAAGAAAGATCAATCATCAACACAAACTCAGAAAGGGATAGTATGACAAATACTTCCTTGAGAACAATATAGGTTCAGAAACATGAGTAGTGCATCAAGCTCAAAACATTAGAGTTTCTTACCTAAGTGCAATAAGATCAAATTCAGTGGGCTTAATGCAGTAAGGCCTTTACTAGAATGCGCAGAGGAAGATTTGGAGACCACTCTATTAAAAGGCCTAATGCTTTTAGCCTTATGTATCAACTATATTAAGAGCCCGTTTGGTAACACTGAAATTGGCTGAATCGGCTGATTCTGCTGAAATTTATGAAGTTCTGGCTGAAGTGGTTGTATTGACTGATTTTGCTGATTCATGAAAAAATTAAATTTAAAATATATTTTATTAATAAAATAAAGAAAAAATTATATGTAAAAATAGCTAAAATGGTCCTCTACAGTAACTTCAGCCGATACAGCCAGAAAAGTAACTCCAACCTTACTTTTTCTGCTTATTACAAAATTCAGCGCGTGAAATCAAAAGTTACGTGTTTGGTGAAAAAGCTGGCTGATAAGCCTGATAAGCCGAAAAAAGGCTCACCAAACGGGCTCTAAGTGTTTTCATCCTTTCAAACCGAACCAAAGACTCACAATTTTTGGCTTGGAAATATGTTGGCTCATAAAACAAAATGACTGACTAAACTATCTTCGCTAAGTCACCATCACACAGTGTTAATGCTCTAAGAAGACAAAACGCATTTCATTTTGTTAAGTGTCAATGAATTTTTCAGAAAGTGCGATATAGTTTACGTTTGTATATATTCAAAATGCACGTGATAAAAGTGCATTTTATTTTGTAAAAGAGTGTCCAAGTAGAATTTTAGAAAGTGTGGTACAATAATGCACTTTTATATATTTAAAATGCACATGGTAATGGTTAGTTTACATTTTTGTATTTTATACGAAGTATTAATTTTTATTTAAAACATGTATGCATGCCCACAATTGCACGAGGAAAGTGTAGGTCAATGTTATGCAAAGTGCAAATTATATACTAGTATTACATTGTAAATACAGTGCATAACTATTTAAATAATTGTGCAACTACTACATAACTAATGGGCATCTTCAAAACCGCCTTCAAGCTGATTAAGCTAACTTTTTAAGTGAGTATCAGATATGGTAAATATAATTCATTGTCGCACTACATTAACCCCAAAACATGGAGCTTTCCATGAAAAGTAATTAACTAGTTCAAAATATTAGATTTTGTATGTTCCGGTTTATACGAAACACACATCTTTGCTGCATCCAAATTGACCAACAAACTCTCTGAGAGGGCCGGAAAGTGTGAACTCATCCCTACATTTTGAGAAATTAAATGAGCATATCATTTGCGATCAAACTAAAGACTCATTATTTTTTGGTTTTGGAATATGATAGAATAAAGTAAAATGACTCACTATCTGCGCTCCTATGTTATGAAGTAGCGGTCCGTTCATGCAATTTTCATTATGGTAATTCAGAAACAGTTTCGCTGACTTTAGTACAGATGTAAGATTGAGTACATCCATTGGCGGAAAGGGGGAGAGTTCTAGTAGTTCGAATGGAAGTTGAGTTGTGTTGTGACGTCGGAGCTCTGGTTTTGAAGATCTGTGTGTTCGATTCCCGCTGGAATGGGGTTTTCTTTTTGCTTCCATTGTGGCCTTGCACTTTTCTTTTGGTTTTGAATCCACTAATGCTTGTTTAGACTTTAGACATGTGATAATGAATTTTGTTCAATTTAATTACTCTAGGATATGACATCGTTAAAATCACTATTCGAATTTCTATATCTTTTATTTTAGGAATTTTATCAATTCAGTACCCGAAAGATAGATGAATTATCAATACGGGACCTAAAAGACGAAATGTATCGATATAGGATCTGAATGATGAAAAACTATCATTATAGGATCTAAATGATTTAAAATTATCGAACTAGGGCCTAAGTTTTTCCAACATTTGCAATGGAGCCAAAGATTCATTTTTTTTGGCTTGAGATTATGATGAAATAAAGCAAAATGGCTCACTAAACTGTTTGCGCTTCTTTGTCATGAAGCAGCAGTCAGTCCATGCAATTTTGGATGGGATTTTCACTATGGGTCACTCGGAAACAGTCTCTCTGTGCTTTAGTACAGGGGTAAGACTGCGTACATCCGACCCCCCCTTACCCCACCGTAGGTGGGAGCCTTTGCGGCACTGGGGTAAATGAAAATGAAATGATGAAATGGTCTAAGGCCTAAGTTGTCATGGATTTTATTAATTTTTTAATTTTGAAAATTTTAAATATCATTTAGTTTTAATAAACTAATAAAGTTTTGTAAAGACAAGTTTATCAAAACTATGAAATGTTAGGTCTTATATTGATAGTTTTGCATCATTTAGATCCTATACCGATAGATATCATCTTTCAGGTTCCCGATTGATAATTCATCTATCTTTCGGGTCCTGAATTGATAAAATTCCTATTTTCATTCTTATTTTTTAATAAAAAAATACGGAGTATATATTTCACTTTTTTTATTCAAGTATTGATATGCTATTTTCTTTTTTCTATTTTAGTTCAATGCCCTCAAAATTGCGTTTATAACATAACTTTTAATTCTTTCAGAATACAAAAACAAAACAACGATTTTTTAATCATTTCTCATTTCTTCTAATAATGACATGTACGTACACTATCACTTAATGTCAAGAATAAATCTAAACATAAATTAAATTAACTTAATTATTTACTTTTTCTTTAGTATACATTAAATAAAAAGAGTTCTTCTCATGAAAATTGAGAATAAACTTGAGCATTAAACTTGAGATCTCTGATAACTCAAAATCAACCAATAATGCACTATATTTTATAAAAAATGTGGTGTCAATTAGATAAATAAATTAAAATTTTTTCTCATTGTCCGTGTAAAACAGATATCTAGTAGTGCACTCATTCGCATTTTTCACGGAAATAACTCTTTCTATTGGAACCACACTTTATATATATATATATATATATATATATATATATATATATATATATATATATATATATATATATATATATATATATATATATATATATATATATATATATATATATATCTAATGATTACTACATCCGTCCCAATTTGATGTTCCCAGTTCCTATTTACTTGGTCAATACAAATCACTCTTAATCTCTTACTTGATATATCAAACTTTTATCAAATTTGATTCAAGTTTTTGCAACTTTGTAAAGCTTTTAATGTAGTTTCTGAGTATGTTCCCACTTTCCTTTTTGGGATGTCCCTTATTTAAATTCACACTTCCATTTTAGGAAACAAAACAATGCAAAACAGTGCAAAATAGTGCTAAACAGTGTCCAAACATTGCCAAACAGTGCGCTCCACAGTAAAGTCAAATTCATTTTCTTAATATGTGTGAAGTCAAACTGGGAACTTAAATAAGAACCGGAGGAAGTAACTTTTTTTCCTAAAAATAATTTAGTGCGAACAGCGATCCGTTTACTTTATCATCGGTCAAAAATCGTAAAGCGTAACGGGAATATCAAATTGGGACGGATGAAGTATTTTCACCCGTTTTTCTTTTATTCTAAAAGAAAATTATTTTGTACTCCCTCCGTTCCTAAATAAACTTCCAACTTTCCCTTTTCGTCCGTTCCAATTATATTTCCACTTTCCCTTTTTGGTAAAGAATTTGTGGTTCACAATATTTCTTACACATTTCTCTCTCCTCTGCACAACTCTCCATCACACAATACCCACTTTTCTTAAATTGTTTGACAAAATGGGTTGGAAGATAAAATAGGAAGGAAGGTAGTATAAGAAATACAAGAGCACGAGCACGGAGCACCATCTCAAATTATTTTCTGGTACCGTCACTACATACATCTGACCCCTACCCCACCGTGACACTAGGGTAACTAGTTATTTCAACCGTGCAACACGGGATGACGGAAGTTTATTTTCTTGATCATTTAAGATAACTTTATAATAATGGCATATAATAATGGTGTAAATATCGCATAAACAGTATATCATAATGATGATGATCATTACTAATTTACCAAGTTTTGTCCGCAAAATATGTGTGAAAATTTTTAAGTATTTACTTAAAATTGATCGCAAATAATAATATGTGAGAATATTGGGTACAATCTCTAAATATGAATCCTCTGATTCTTCACTTGCAATTTGACATAAATATAATTAAAGAATTTAATTTAAAATTAAATCTTTAATCCTTCAAACGTTCGAACGTTCTTCAGATCTTCAAATCTTCGTTGTTGAGATCTTCGAATCTTCGAATCTTCGTTTGTCAGATCTTCAAATCTTCTTGAATTAAGAATTCAACTTGAAGGGTTTCCGGTTTTCAAGTGGCTTGATCTTCAATAAAATGACCGTTTTATGGCTTGATCTTTTGTTTAAGGGCCTCCCGGGATATATGGCTTGATCTTCAATTGAATTTCAATTCAATCTTCATATGAGTATCTTCAAATCTTCAAAGATTCGTTCTTCATATCTTCGAATCTTCAAAGTCTTGTTCTT